ACAGACTTTGACTTATAGTGAATTTTACGTTTGCACATACATATAGCTAGCATAATAGTGTAACTCCGGGGATAATTAATTATCTATTACAACAATAACTTAACGATTTTTATTTGTTCATTCTCAGTTTTCGTGGTACGTAAACAATATATTAATAAAAAGTGAATATAATCCTATATTATAATTTTATATATTTTTTTAGTATTCGTTTAATACAATGTGGCCTATATTATATTAAATCTTCTAATACTTTCTATTCATTGTAAACTAAAAATGTATGAACATCAATTAACAAAATAGCAACTAACCTTTCTAATAAAAATTCAATTCAGTCTGTGGTTTATACCGAGCGAGATCATTGAAACCGCGACAACACAATATTATAGAATTAAGTAGAAAAGAAAAGTTATACCATTATCACAGGTGAACGAGTATTAACATATATATTAAAGATCGAGTAGACAATAGCCTATTTTATTTTGTTATTTTTTTTTTATATATATATACTGCAGAAATTCCTAGTGAATTCCAATAAAGGAAAAAAAATAAATGCACTATAATAAAATTAGTAATACGTGAAAATTAGTGAGTTTCACCAACTGCATGCACATGCAATGGCATAAAGGTATAATGAAGTACCACTTACTCAAACTGCTTTAAATTTAAATCACTTTCATACAAAACAATTCTTGAAATTATTATGATTTATAAGTGAGATATTTAATACATCGTTTAAAACAATAACGTTATTTTTTTAAACAAATTCTCTACTGATTTTTCTAATTTTGTTTTATTTTTACAAATACATGTTTCTTAAAATATACATATTACACATTCTACGTAGTTTTATATTTAAAATTGTTATTACAAAAGTTAAAATTTAAATACTCTTCTACTTTCATAATGTTTCAAACATAACCTTTTAAGTTCATTTTATAAGCTCTTGTCAGAACTTAAACAAAAATAATCTCCAAATCATTAAAAAAATCATATGGAAAATAAATAAAGGGTAATTACATAAATTCAGAACATGAAAAAAACGATTAGCAACGAACTTTATTTGTATGTCTATTTTTTATTTATTTTATACGTAAGTAAAAATATTTAAAGCAATTCGATTTTTCATAACATTGTTAATAATTTGAAAATAAGTATGTAAGTTTTCAACTAGAACTTACTATTTTCATAAAAATGTACAAAGTAAAAAACGAAAAAAAGATCCTAAATGACATAATTTGTCGTATAATATGTTCTAACAAATTGTGTATCGTACGAACTAACTCGACTTTAAAATTTATAAATTTAATTTAAGTATAAGAAAAATATTTTTATTTTAATACATTTTATTAAAAACGATATTAAAACCAAAAATAGAATTAATAACTTTATAAAACTATAAATCGAGTAAAATTATCTATTCCTGCTATTTTTTTTTTTTTTTTTTTTTGTTATATAGGTAATTTTTCAATATTATACACTCGTTAAAAAATCGAAAAAACATATGAAACCTATATTTAAATATGTTTATAATTTATGGAATATGATGTAATTAATGCTACCAATTTTTTTACATAAAATTAAAATTGTTTTTTTTTTTTAAGGCTGCAATTGTATGAAAGTTGAAATTTCTTATACTGAATAATAACGTAATTTTCCCTTTTTTTTTTTTTTTGCAACGATGTTCATAACTTATATATCTATTATAAATTCTGTAATTTCTATTACTAAAATACGAATATTTATGTATTGTCGCGAGTATTGATTACTATGTATTAATATATATGGTATTTGTATGATGTTTTCAAAAAAAAACTCTTGGATGATTCAATTTTTATCGATGGATAACGTTCATTAACCCGAATAATATACTTGTACACTGTAAACTTATGTATATACCTCAATAATATTATCATTCATAAAAACATACAGAGGCAAAACGATATTTCAAAGGTAGGATCTAGTAAAATTATCACACTAACAAATAAGATATTTTATAAAGTATAAAATGAATGACCAGTGAAAAATATATAAAATAAGCATATTTATGTATTTATACTTGAACCAAACAATACAAAAATGCATAAAAACAAACATGAAACTAATGATTCTTGCATTGTTGACAATTGGTTTTATGATTATCTATCACGGTCTAATTAACGTAACACCCTTCATCCGAGTTAAACATCGATATTTAGAGCATACGGTTCAAAGATTCCATCCTAATAAGTATTGCTTTTACCAGTATTTTACAATTAATCGATTTTATTAGCAACCCAATTAAGTAAAATTAATATTGCGTAACTATTAAGAATTCGAATAATTACTACGGAGCTTAAATTACTTCAAATTTTATGCAACAATATAAAAATATACGTATTTTTAACTGAAATAATTATAAATTCAATAGGCCCTGTATATTATATTGATATAACTATTGTATAAAATGGACAAATGTATTACTTACAATATGTATGTACTATAGAACAATGTAACACTGACGTAAAATATTTATGTAAAAAACCATATTAAAGAAAATTATACCAATTTGAAAAACAACTATAAATACTTTTTTCTACGGTTGGTTATCCTCTTTTAAATTTATGAGCTAAATATTATTTTGTATTTAATTAATTCATTTTTCTTCCGTAGTATAAATCTCTAATAAAATGTATGGATAATCTACTAGATTTTTCAAATACCAATATGTTTGATCATAGATATTACAAAGAGCAACTCAAAACAAACATGTCCTCAACTAAACAGACTAAATATTTTTCTTCTTTTTTATACAAAAAAAATCCTATATACTCTCAAGATAATTATATCTCAAACGTTATTTATTTTTTTAAGTTTCTATAGCATTATGTTAGGTGCAAGAGCATTGCGTATTGAATCGCTAAATACTTAACTAGTCAAGAACTAAAATAAGTACTGAAATACAGACTTAGCCGAAGACGACCAAGCAATTCAGCATTTTAAATAACTTTTTTCTGTATATTGGTAATAATACTCGATAAGGATATTTTTGTTTTTAAAAATGAAGTTATAAGCTAATTTCATTTAAATTAAATAAATTAATAAATATTATACCTACATAAGGAAATAATTAGACAGTGCAATTATACCCCCTTATTTGATACTCATGTATATAACAGTTATCCCTAATAAAAAACACAGTTGTTTAGAGGTAAAATTAACTGTTTTGAATTAGTACGAAATACTGTTTTTTTTACTTCAATCCTCTAAACAGAATATATTTTTATAACATCTCAATGTTAACACAATATTTCGCTTTTTACGTCAACATTTATATAAAAATTTAAGATTACACACTCTCTTACGTTTTAATTTATTTATTATGGAAATAATTTTAATATATTGAATTTGAATTATGGTAAGAAAATAAAATACACGATTTGTTTCATGTCCACCTTATTATTGGTAAACAAAAAGAAACTTTATAGACTCCACTTACATTATGTTTAAAATATTTTCCAAGTAAGCAATATATAAGAATAAAGTACAATATAAAATGCCTATAACAGATTTTGGTTGATGTATACAATTTTGTTCACACAATTTCTTTGGCCACAAATTATTATTTTAAAATCACAAATCGCTTAACATTTTTTTTGTTCAACAGAATAGATTCAATTCGTAATATTTTTGCAGTATTTCTCGATTATCACTTCAAAAAACCCTCTGGCCCAGTTATAAAATAGCTTATATCATAGCACAATACAAATCAATTAATTTTTAACACTTTAAAATATGTTAAAAAAAATTTCGGTTATTCGACTTTTTATGCAATGTATAATCAAAATGATCTACGTAATATTCAACGTATCAGACCAGACACCTGTACAAGTAAGAGAGTCCTAATAACGTGCCCGTATTAACGATATATGCGTAACAAGTATTGATGGATTAATTTCCTAGTTGATAATTACTTTTTCGGTTTTCGCTTTTTTTTTCACCTATTATAAAACACTATTTGCACGTACGGTAGTGTGTTATATCATAATTAACGACAATTAATACGCAATGTACTAAAATTTTATAATCGTATTTAATTTTTTTTTTTTAGTGTATCGGTATCGTATGTTTTTTGTTATTATTATAATTATTAGTTTTTTTTCATGGCCGAGAAAGAAATTTTATTAGAATTAGCGTACAAGCAAACATATTTTCTGAACCTACAATGTGTCCCGTCCCCGAGTGTATGTTGATCATTTCATTGTTCAGCGCACGAGAAAAAAATGTAATCGTCGTCGCACGTGTGTGTTACGAGGCAAAAATATTTATCATAAAACGTCACACGGTTATTGAACAAATCGGTGGCGGCCACTGTCCGGCCGACGGCGGTTTGCGCAAAACCGTTTCGAAACACTGTTTGTTTACTGGTCATAATTTACGGCCGTGACCGGCGAATACCTTGGTCTGGATGCGAATTATGAACTGTTGTCCAAACAGCAATAATAATCGACGAGTAACGCGAAACCGCGGTTAAAACGATACCGGAACAACACTACCGTTTAAACGGATCAACGCCATAAGCCATTTGTGACGAATCGCTTGAAACCCGACTTACCACGTAGCCGAGCTCTCGTTCGCATTGCGGGACGCCGCACGACTCGGCAAGATGACGTTGTTGTCGCCAGTGTGTAATGGCATTTAACAGTTTACTCGCGATGAAAATGAACACAAATTTTAAGCATGGATTTGATAATCAGAAGAAAAATCAAAACAAATTAATGGCAATTCGACGATGAGCTGTCTTTAGAAACAGGGGGAAATAAAATAAGATAAAGAAACAAAGAACGATAGAGGGAGGGAGAAAACAATACCCAGAACCACCGCAATGACGTTTGCAGTGTCGGAAGAAAGCGTTTCTGAAACGTGACCGAACCGGAACAATTAATCAAGTATTTGTGTATTAATCTGCTGCGTATGAAATGATTTCGGTCAAGAGCTGGTGTTTCCGGAACACGAGTGAAAGGTATACTGAATAGCACATTTTATTACAAAAAAAAAATATATAAATAAATAAACAAATAACGCGTAAAAATCAATACGGCGTACACAGAAATCAGTTGAAGTGTCTGGGGCCAAACTCTTCTGTCATAGGAGTCCATCCGTTGCTGGGAGCTTGGAATTCGTTGTTGTGGACCATCAAGTCGGCTTTGCGCTGAATAACGTTCTGGGCGCGGACATCAGGCGATGGCGATGATTGCGGTGACATGAAATACTCCATGATCGGATGATAGTTGTAATTAGTCCTAGTGGTTTGATACGAATCCGGCGCGTCAGTTGGAACGTTTTGGGTCGTCGATCTGTAAACAAATAATAACGTTTTAAATATTGTACAAATTAAATGTACCGTAACGACAAACACAATTATTGTAATATTCGCTTAGTTATTATTGTATTTGTGAAATTATTTCAAGTATGCAAATTATTCGTGGTATACACCTAAGAACTGAGAAATTTACCAATTGGTTTGTTATAAATTTTACCGCATTTATTTCAATTGTTTATATTACAATGTAACGGTCAAAAATTGTTTACACTATCAGACGAAAGATACTTCATTTAAGAATACTGAGTAAATTTTTATTGTTTTTTCGAGTCAATAAGTTTTTTAATTTTTATATTTTTGATTATAGTCTTGTGAAAAACAAATTATTGACGAAATAGCAGCGTTATTTGTGATTATTTATTAATCATATAATTATTACGATAGCGCAAGACAATACTATATTTCTGACTTGTATTGTACAATTTAAAAAAACATAGTTTTGTTTTAGGACACCAAACTTATTCGAGTAAAGTACAATCCTGGATAAAGTGAAATGCGTAAGAGATCCTTCTGCAGTCCTTGGAAACCAGTGACTGCGAAACTTTTTTGTATTGTACCACAACAACTACGATCATTTTTAAAAGTATATTTTTAACAGTAAAATAAGAATACTACAATTATTTACTGTAACTTCTTAATAGTTAAAATTCTCTGTGAAAAATTAAATAATACACTTCATAGCAACTTAAATTCAAATTTTTTATAAACAAAAAACCAGTAGGTGAGCAGATGGTTGTAGTGAAAATATGCATTTTAAAGTAAAATAATTCACGTCACCTCCGACATTAATGATGTAATAAATAATTATCTACCATCTAATAATCATTCCAAAGGCAGTAACAATTTGTTTAATCATTAATAAACTATCGATACGAATATTACGGCATCAAATGTTTTTTTTTTTTAATTTCATAGCTAATGCATTTGCTGCCTTTATCGAATGTTATTAAGTAAATATCTATATTATAATATGTGAATAGATTGATTGCACTATTGTGGTTTTAGCCAGCCTCGAATGGTTTAACAACAAATCACCGTTTACGTTTAATGTTGTCGATCGATAAGGTAATGATTACATATTTATACATGAACGTACTGTGTGCATCAATGATTTGCGTAGTAGGGAACCCACGTTGTGTATCGCCGTTATTTACATCTATTACCAAGCGATTTGCTTTTTTATGTTAATTATCCGGTTAAATGACATAAATAAAAACATGTCACCTTTAGGCTTTAACCATCAAACATATATATTTACCAATTGGAAATTTTCTAATGTTAAAAACAATAAAAAAACAATAATACAAATGAAAATTTACTTTTAATATAAAAGAGGTAAACATTTTTTTTTTTTTGTCAGTTCATTTATAATTTCCTCGATTTTTATCAAGTAGTTTTTATTTATACCATCGTTATACCGTAACTTTGTCTTCCTCTGGGAGGGTCAAGACCCGGGAATCCCCCCTCCACCCCAAACAAAATACGCCACTAAATATAACATCAATATAAGAACAATTATCAAACTTTACTAATTTTAACATAGTTATTGTCAATCACCTAATGTGTTATTATATTTCTTGGTAAACAGAGTCACGTAAGGTCCTAATTTGAAAATTTCTTGACGATTGAATAGTAAATAAAATGACGATCAAAATCAGGTATAAGATTATTAAAAAAGAGACGAACATAATTTAATAAATTATATGGCTATAATAATATAGTATTGTTTTCGGTTGACTGGCTAGTAAAATGTATAAAAATTCAAATCCATATCAAGATATAATAAGTACCCTTCATGTATTTGTTTTCAGAATTTATCAATCGAAAATTTTTGATAATATATAATTTAATTTGCTCATGCTAAATACAAAGATAAATAAAATCATGTAATTTAATATTATAGTATCTGATTTAATAGTATTCTAAATTAATTATTTGTTAGTTGGACGTTTTTTATTGTTTAATCTAAAATACAAGCTTTCTACTGTTTACATTACTACTATTCCATTAATTAGTTTAGATCTCATGCTTTATATTAATATGCTAATTAAAATATTTTTTTTTACACAAAACTCACTCCAAAAATTTGTTTCAAATAACATCAATTTTATCTTGTACACGAGTATAATAATTTAATGAATATATCTACACCAATAAAAAATAAATCCAAAATATTTAATACAAATAGCTATGAATATTCAACAATACATACAATTATAATTTATACAGAACGTTTTACTACTGTAATAAAATACTTATAAAAATGTAACATTTATTCATCATTTTCTAACATAAATTTTAATATATTTTGTTATTTTATTCAACTCAGTTTATATATAATAAAAATGAAAAAAATTATTTAAAAAATGATCCTTGTGTTTAATTTTTCTTTTATTCCTCATCATTAGCTTGCTAATATCATTAAATTTAATCTCAAACTTGGTTTCAGACTTATATAATAGTGTATTAGTTTCCTACAACATCTTTATAACAACAAACAGAATATTGTTTTACCTCATTTATTTATCATATTTATGTATCCTATTTTTATTAATAATTGTTCAAATATCAATTTACCTATTTTGTGTTAACATTTTATTTCGCGTGCTAATTAATTGTATGTAAACTATTTTGAGGCAAGTAATCCTATACGATTAAATCATTTTTGTAATAATAATAATATTAATTTATCTTATAATACGAGTATATGCAATATACATGTGTCTATTATTTGATAAAAGCAATATTTATATGAATTTAATGTAGACTGTGAAAAATTAATATGGACATTTAATTAATAATTTAATACTCTGACCTACACTATAAAGTAATTTTTAAATGACTTTTTATAGGTTGAATAGGTTATTTATCATATCGAGGCTGTTTATTTTCTTACATTATAATACATATAAATATTATTTGTAATATATTATGGATATATTAATAATTTTCGCGACAGATTTTTTCTTTAATATAAATTTTCTAAAAGTAGATTTTAATATGTTAGCAAGAATCAGAATCACGATACTATCATATAACTAAGGCATAAACTTTTATTAATTTTTATCAATTTCAAATTTAGCAATATATTTAACATAAAAAGATTTACGAGAAGTAATAAGTTATATTCATATTAATTAATATTTAAGCTAGGCACCAACATGTACATTAAAATGCAATAAAATTCTATTTTAAAATATAAATAATGCTGTTTAAAAATACTCTAATATACCTACAGCGTAAAATGATAAAAACAAAAAATTAAATAAAAAATTTAAATCAATTACATTTAATAGGTACCAAATTTTTTTTTTTTTAATAGTTCAATTTAAATATCAATTATAAATTAATGACACAATATTTTTCAATTATTAATTTTTATGCAAAACAAGTAAAATACAAAAAATAACTTAAAATGCAAAATTAAATTTTAATTATTAAATAATTTTAAATATGAAAAAAAAGGTTTGCTTGGAAAGCAATAATTCGAATAGGTATTATAAAATATAATTCACATTACAATTCATGCCGTGGAAATAAATCAATGTCTATAATAAATACGTTTGAAACTTTTACTTTATGCACTTTTCTTAGTTTGTAAAATCGTTTAGGTACTTAAATTCTGGTTTTATAAGAAAATTGTATATCTTAAAATCACCAGGATTCATACATTTAAATATTAAAGTTTTGTCTTAAATATCAAACATAAAATATGTCTCAATCACTAACTAAAATATATTATATAATTTGGTTTACAACTTGTCAACTTAATGAAAAAATACTCAACTTATTAACTATATTGTTTAATAACTTTACATCAAATATACAACACATTTATCCATTTCACAAATTATATGTCTAATCATAATAATAATCATAATCTAAAGGATGGTTTGATAGGTTGGATGAACCCATGAAAATAACTATTACATTATTGAAGATGATATTTTGAACTACTAGTTTGATTATATTAGGAATATCTTTGGTATTAAAAATAATCATGAATGACCTCCAAATAATATATTTTTAAGTATAAAACTAATTTCCTACTTTTTTTTGTATTTAAATTAAAATGATAAATTTCAAATAATTCGAGTATATTATTATTTTGTACAAGATAATAATTACTTATTCCGGTTTTTCTTGTATGGCCTCCTAGTTACCGGCGGATATTTAGCGGGAAGTGTTTCGTGCACCGTATACGGTGTAGATTGTGTGGATTGTTGTAACCGTTTATGTGGTACAATTTTTTTTTGATTGGTATTCGAAGATTGCGTATGATGATCATCGGCCACAGAATTTTGCGATTCAAAATTATCCGGAACGAGTGGATTCAATTCTTGGATATGACAAGCGCAACAAGTGGGCACCTGTACATAAATAAAACATTATAATCAAATAAATGCTATTTGATAAACATTGGTGGTGTAATATAGCCTTATAAATGAAGTAGTGTTTCATTAATTTTACATTTCAAAGGCTTACATTTGCGCACATTATATTTTCAATGCTTCGAAAACGATCAGATTAAAATAAACAACACAAAATTAACCAAAACCAATACCTTAAATATATCCAACGTCAGTCCAGAAAATTGATCCCAAGTGAGCAGTCTATGATAGTTGTACACCTGATGACACGTAGATTTGAATTTTGTAGATACATGAGAACATCTTGTTTCAGGTTTCCTATACAGACAACAATTATCGTAGAACAATGTTTATTGACAATCGTTTTTTTTTTTTTTTACTTAATTTATGAACTCACAAGCATTTTTCAAGTCTCAACGTTTGAACGTATTCATCTGTGTTCACGACGTATTTCCACTGTCCATTTGTGGATCGAGCTTTTTTTGGTCTAGCCATCGTAATTTTACTTTGGCAAATTGCATCTTCCGGATTGCTATCAATTCGTCTATTACATAATCAATATTATAATTAAAATTAATTTCATTTATATTAAGTTCAAAAAATACCTTTCAGGTATGTTCGAATCGAAAGAATCAGATATATTATATTTTGGATCCTTAATTAGTGCTTGAAACGCAGCTCTACTGTTGGCTGTATCCTCGATGCTTTCAATAATTTCAAGACTAAAAACATTAAAAACTAATAAAAATTTGAATTTAATCATTTTAAACATTAATTTTACTATCATATTTTTTTATTTTTTTATTGACAATTAGCTGATGTGTAAACAAATTTTAAGCCCAGGTTTTTATATTAATTTCATTCTAAGCCATGGAATATTCAATTGTAAAAAATAATCATTCAATAGTTGATGCGTTATTTATTCATATATCATAACAGAGAAATTAAATACACTCTCGAATAAATATAATTCTATGAGTAACAAATCATCGATAAACCATAACACGCTAATACTTATAATTTATCATCCAGTGAGATGGCTTAAGAATAATTTTTTCCAAGCATCATAATTTATAAAAAGAACATTATAATTATCTACTCCTATAAGTGAACTAACTGTTTATTATAAATTATACACATGCATGTACATAAACAAATTCAAATATACATCTTGTGCTTATCCATCATTATTATCGTCTAACGAGAAGCTTAAAACCACAATTTTAAATTACTATTATTTTCAGAAATACGGTTCTATAATTGGGTAATTTAAATACTATCGGATAAAAATAATTATCTACAATTTCTTTCGTAAACAATTTTACAACTTTGAAGTTAATTTGTTTTTAATAAACACTAAATTAGTTCCGTTATTTAGTTTAAATAACTGTAAAATAAACATTCAGCGATAAATCACTTGTGAAATAATTTCTTAAATTAAATTGCGTATTGGATAAGACGTTGAAATTTTTATGATGCTTTTAAAATGTTTTCGTTATTTTTTAAAGAATCGTAGACAAATAACAAAGATAAAAAATAACAACTAAGAAGTATTTTAAGCTAGAATAATTATCAAGAAAACCGAAAACTTGGTTACATTTTTAAAATTATTTTTTTTCTGTGTTAACATTTTAAACCGTAGGCATTAGTATTTTTCACAAATTTAACAAATTTAAACATTTGAACATAACAAAATAATTTTTTCGTTTATAAATAAATATATAATACATACATAACCTAAAGGTGGACATCGATTAATATAAAAACCCATCTATAACTAGAGTACGAATTTGTCATACTACATTAGAATGAAATTCTGATGTATTGAACTCAAACGTGATATAATATTTCGTTGATCTTGTAAAACGTAAGTTTCATGCAATCACTAATTCTTTTAATATGTTTTCTGATACAAAACGAAAAAAAATAAAGATTTTTTTATCGGACCCAAATTCTTGTAACTCATACGTTTGATGTATACATTTCCCTGACCCTAACATTACGTACGTTGTTCGAAACGCATAAACGTTTATTTATTTCGTTTCATTTTTTAAAAAACAAATTCCGTTCAATCGTCCGTACAATACGTTCGAAGATTTAAAACAATGGGGCGAATGGGCTGCGTATCATAGCCTAGTTGGGTGCGCAACAGCTGTCCATCAGATATTACTAGACCTCGGTGCGCTTTCGACCGTTTACGGTCAACCCGATGGATTGCGGCGGTGACGATCGAAACACTGTGCATACTAACTCGGGGTACGCTTGGACGTCCAGACAAATGTTATCGCCGAACAGGTCGCAATCGTCCAGCGGGCTCTCGGAGGTAGGCGGCGATTCCGGTACCTTGCTGGGTTGTTGTCTGAGCACGGCCGTCGCGGGCATCGGCAGGTAGGGTCGCTTCATACCTGTTCCGAAGTCAATGCAAACATGTTATTTGGGTCAACGACCTTGGGACGGCTATCTACTATGATATCGTTGCGTGCACGTAACGCGTACAGTTTATAAGTAAAAATAAAACCAGTTACTTGGCCGTTCAGGAATCCGTTGTGGAAACCGGCGGATCAACGTGTTCGGCAATCGGTGGCGATTAGGTGGAGGAGGCGCGGACAAATGGTACGACTGCGAGTGTTGGAAAAGAACCGAAAAAAAAAAAACGAAACGAATATTATAATATTTTACTATCGATCGGCGCTCATACACGACCGCAGCAGCTGCACCGCTACGACCGTAACAGTCCCGCGACCTTAATGTCGTTGCGATAATAATAACAACGATAATGACATTCGTGTATCGTAACTGACCCCGTAACCGGATGACGCCCTGGCCGACGCTTCGACGCCGCCGCCCCTGGCCGTCTGACCGTTCCGCAACATCGCCGCTATGTCCTGGCTGATGGGCAACAATAGTTGCGCGTTCAGCGCCTTGTTGTTCAAGTTCTGCGACTGGCCCTTGCCCATCACCATACCGGCCAGCGCGAGCCGCTGCGCCGGCGTCATGGCCTTGACGATCGGCACCACTTGGGCCAACCGCTCCTTCATGCCGGGCTTCCGCATTGCCGACTGCACCAGTTTCTGCATGGTGTCCGACTTCCGGTCGGCCATGTTCCTGCAGCACGCGCGCGCGTTCGATTACGACATGTACATAGTGCTTGGTTTGTGGGGGAGCGCTGGGGGACGGAATACCCCGAATAATTTTCAGAAATGTTAACTCCCCCTCCTACTATTATTATGTTATAATTATAACGCTCGACAAGTTTTGGAGACGCTCTTCTTTTTTTTAAAGTAAATAGAGCCCCCCTTCTTTAATTTTCCCAAATCGAGTATGATCACACCGGGATTTTTGTTAGCGTTCCACTATTATGTATGCGCGCGTTAGCCACGGCGTCGACAGTTATCACTAGGGTTCGGGACTTGAAGCATTCTATTGTTTTTATTTATTTAATTATTTATTTTATTTATTTCGTATTGTTTAATAACGATTGCAAAATAGTCCAAGTAAGATATAAATTTGTTTTAAGTCAAAAAGGATTGATATACAAATATTTCAATATTTTCGCCGTTTTCTGAGCAAAACGCATATTCGACAAATTTTGGCAATTTAATTGTTATTTATAGCAGCATATTTACGCAGTTTTCGTTTGATGTTAAGTGCATATGCTTTAAAGGTTAACGTAATTTTTTTTTTTTTTACTTTCATGCATCGGACAATATACGTAATTATAGAACGAGTCGGGACAGAGCAACAAGAGAAATAACTTGTTCCTACGTTTACTATCGTTTATCGTAAATCGTTCAGTTACCTAGTTTTTTTTATTGTAGAAGATGAAAAAAATGAAATCGAAAACATACACAGTAATATAATGTGATTATTTTCAAAAAATACTAATTAAAAAAAATATCTAAATTTAAATGAATAAATCAAAATTTTTTACTGTCATTAAAAATATATTCAGTTGCATATTTTTGCACATATTTCAGTGAAGTGCATATTTCCTAACCATTTTGTACATTGAGTCCCGAACCCTAGTTATTACATACATACTATTGAACATATCATTACCGTTATTGATGATCATTATAGCAGTGAGAAAATGCGTGTTCGACGGTCGAAACGTGGTTCTTATACAACGGGGCGGTTCATTCGATCATAAAAATCATACCTTGCCCCGCAGTCATCGCGCGAATTTGTATTTTCATTTACGATTTTTTTTAAATTTTTATTTTTTTTTTTTTAAGAATTTTACAAATTTACAAACTTTTGTTTAAAACATTAAGACAACGAATAACTGAGCACGATGTAATTTTCAGGTGCTATTTAGAACTACCAGTTGAACATAAAAATCGTCTTAATATGTGCAATTTTTAAAAAAAAAAAAACCAATTCAAAATAACAGAACACGGTAAAATATTTAGTTGAGAACTAATGTTTCCGGTTGGACGAATAGATCGTCTTAAAACAACATGGGTGTTCAAAAATCATTTTTCGTCCCCTGAATACTCATTTCCACGATTGTTATTTTTCATTATGCGTGATCTGATGCGTGCGAATAACTTCTGAACTCTAGGAATGAGTATTATGTGAATGCTGAGGAAATTCCAGCCTCCTCCTCCCCCATCGAGATCACTAATGCAAAAGGTATGCCCGTAAGGAATTGTGATTAAAAATCATAAGATACACTTGAAAGTCGACGCATAGTTGTACATGTAAATGAATATTTTCAGAATTTCACGCATCCGTGTACACGTATATTATAATTATGAAATGGTATATATTAAATTTTGTCATATTATGCCGCTGTAAATATTTCCGACGGCCGTTGTGCAACGCCTACAATGCGCAAAATAAAACATGAGGATTTAATAATTTAATTTAAAAAAAAAAAACAAGCGTGAAATGTTAACAGTTCACAACAAAGACGATCGTTGCGTTCAACATTGTAAGCAAAAAAATATCGCGATACAATTCATTTTTTATACACAAATAAAACCAATGGTATGATATTTTAGGAATACGCCAATAGAAGTTGTAACGGACCACCAAACGGATATGACATACTATTAACGGTATACTGCGAGTATTTTATAGATATCTAAAAAGCAATAAAAAATTAGTAGCAGTTAATACCTGTAGACAATATTTGTCGAATTGAAATGATCTTTGGGGTACGGATTTTCTTGTTGTTCCACAATCAATTTTCAATTTAAAATTGTATAAACTGTTCACGCAGTACACAATACGCATAATTTCCTCAGTTATTATTTTTGCTCGGCTATTCCATTACAAAAGGTTGTTGTTGTTGCGGTTATTACTAACCATAAACCATGTTATTAGAACAGAACTTTGTTTTCAAAAAAAAATAAAAAAAATATGTATTGTTCATAATGCGCATGCGCGTTTTATCTATTTTTTTACGTTCATTTTGCGTACAGCGCAATCAATTCAGTTGTGCGTTTGTTTTATCGGTAGAAAGATTATCCTCAGGAACGAAACATCGTACACGCATCGGAACATCGTGTCCGTAAAATCAAATCACTTAGATAGGTACTGCACAATCGTAGCATGGATCGGATTAGTCGGGTTCGCTTGTACCAGCGAACGTGGGCGTAAGGCGATGTCCATAAAAATATAAATAAAACAAAAACCGAGAGAAAGCAGGTCGTAGAGAGATGACTAATCATTTGCAGAGGATTTTTAACGAGACCCACCCATGAGCAGGATGACTATTCGCACGCCTTTTTTCTTTTTTTTTGAGCGCACACTTTTGTCGGGTGACATTAACTCATTTGTTATTAGGACACTCACGTGGACTCGTCCGACGGCTCTTCGTCCATATCGAGATCGGTCATGAATACGTTGTTACTGTTATCGCTTTCCGCCGCCGTCGTGTTAGGAGAGTCGTCATCGTTATCAGCTGCGGTCACGTTGCCATCGTCATCGCCGCCCAGACCGTCGTCCAGTGGGAAGTCCTCTAAGTCGTCACATGCGACGGCCACGAACGTCTGCAACGCGCAGATACAATAATTACTACTCTATCGCTATCGACATCGAAACATTCGAAGCGTTCCAAAGTTATCGTCACTATTATCAGTGCCGGATTACCCATCAGGCGGAATAGGCGCCCCCGTCTTAGGGCCTCACTGATTTAAGGGGCCCTGTGAAAACGGAAAACTATATATATTTTTTTAATTAACAATACCTGTATTTTATTTACGAGTTTTCAGGACAAAATTCATTATGAAAATTTCATGTATATATTATATTTAATATAATATATATTAAGTTGTGTTATACGCAGTGATAATAATAAAACTATTTTGATAAAAAATATAAATACATAATATAGTAATTAATTGATTTTTCTTGCAAATAAAAAAATGTAATTAACATTATTTTATTTATCGATAACGGTTGATTATTATTAAACCGGTTTGTTTTAATAATTGGACAGTACTGTTATAGATGTATGTAAAACATAATTTTGTAGAGCCCAAAAGGTTAGTTGCCCAAGAGCCTATAAACGTTTAATCCGGCACTGACTATTATTGTTCGGTAGCTCGGTGTGGCTCGGAAATGTTTAAGAAAAAAAAAAACCCCGGGTTCGTTTCTAATGACCATCGTTACGATTCACCAGTGCCAATGACATTATAACGTTGTACTGCTAACCACTACTTATGCACATCGCTTGTTCGTCGTCCTACGTAGGTGCACGGTGCACATTGTGGTCCGTAACGCGAACATTTCGTTGCGGTACGGGTGAAGGAAAAAAAAGTAGCTACGCCGTACTCGTTTTGCCGTGTCCGCGAAAACGCGGTCGCACCGGCACTGACTTTACGGGATTTTATTATCATCAGTTATAGTAATCCACGTGCTGGGAACTATGCTATTGCTGTTACACTTCTGCAGTGTTTCCGAACGAGTGTCACACGTGGATCGCCCCCCCCCCCGTCCTACCGGAACTACGTTTCCATAAAATTATAATTCTAAATTAAGATGACATTGTGGTTTTTAAAAGAAACACACGGTAAACCGATAAAATATTGTGAGTTTGGTTTATAACGAAATCGTGTACATTTTAGTGACGAATACCCCGATGTAAATTAATGATTTTAAACCATAATTTCTCTATGGTTTACTTACCTACATTGAAACGTTAACGCGTAAAAAAAAAATAACTTCGTGTGTTATATTTTAATCTTATGGTGTACAATTTAAATGTATTTCTTATGTTTGATTTTTATCCATAACCAGTATAATTATGTTTATATTGTGCAGTGATGGAGTACTTCACTGCAAGTCCAATTACACGTATAATTTAAATATGTACTCGTTATAATATTAGCTGTTCAATCGTACGATTTGACGCAAATTTATTTACACAGTTCATTAGCCAATATCTTATTTTTATTTTTATTTTTGGAAAACCGTTTATCTTGTTTATCTTTGTTATTTGCACCGTCAAATATTATAAAAATATTAAGTAAAATTTAAAAATACTACGAGTGGATGTAGGGAAAAAAAATTACTTTGATATAATATTACATCCACATTGTATTATACTATTTTGCCATTATTTTTGAGAAACGTTTTACAAATTTACCATGATATCACTTTGAGAATTCAGTAACACGATATTGAAGCCATACGTTATATTTTAATAATACTTGATGTATTAGTACAACGATATTTGTAAGTTAAACTACTATTCATAAACCCTAAAACTCTCAGTACCTATCTAATTTAATTAATTTTAAAAATATTTAACGATTTTTTTGTTTTGAAAAGCGTTTGACATTTTAAAAACTTTAAGAAATCTGAAAGTATAGTACTTTCATTGAAAATATTGTGAATACAACTTCATGAAAAAATAAATACTAAATAAAATTAGTTATCGTTGTTCTAAATTTGAAGTAGATGTACGATATAGATATCATGGTTTACGTTGAGTTGAACCGATACGTGATATCTGAACCTTGTTCTTTATAACACATGTTCATCAATATATTATACGTACAAGCGCAGTACCTAAATAAGCGTTATGCCATCATTGATACATTTTATTTAAAGAAGATTACATTGTGTTATTTTTAACTCATTCTTCAAATCTTATTTTTTAAATAACACACAACTAAAAAAAAAAACCCATAAAAACTTATTTACATAAATACACGCCATTGATTACATTTATGTCAAAAACATATCAGCTACTAATTTAAAAAAATATCAATAATTCTGAGCAAGGTACTTGTATTAATAATGTTAATTTAGAGCATATATCATTAAAATAATTAATAAACAAATTAATAAAAACAATTGTTTTCATCGAATTATTTTAAAATATGTTTCTGATGAGAATTATTTTTATATACTTACTAATTGGTAAAATTAAACACAAAATATTTAACATATAACACTGATTTACGTTAGAATTTGATTTATAATTAAGATTAATCCTGGTACGCACAAAAAATATTATAAATAGTTGACATACAGTTTAGACTTAGTTCATTATGTGGGTCAACATTTTTGATTCGTTCCTCGAACCCTGTATAATTTATACTTTTAATTCCAAAAAATACCACTTCTCAGTTACAGTCGTAAATTTATGTTTTATCCTGTCTATATAATGATAAAAATAATTGTTATATGTATACCATTTTTTCACTCTTTTTTTTTTTTTTTCATTCTTAACTTTTGTATTTTATCATTGTTCTTGTTTTAATTAATTTGTACCGTTTTTAATAATTGTGAGCATAGAATATAAAATGGCCCAACATTAAATTATCGTACTAGTCAGCGTATTCGAGTGAAAATTAAATAAATTAACACCATGTAGGCATAAATTAAAAATAGAAAAGAACTCTAATCCTCGTATTCTAAATGTTTTATGAATGAAAAATTTATTTTTAATCAATATTCAGTTTGAGTTAAATAAACTTAAAAGCATTATTTTAAGTTTTAAAATTTTAAAATAAACTTTGGCGTTATCCGTTACTATTTTTCAAATATAATATAAAAACTAACCGACTCGAACATATGTCAATACATTCGCAATCTAGTGAATGTCGTCAACAATTTTCACTGTCTATAAACTGGACGATATGTTTTCCTATTGTGAGCATTTTATACTCTATGGAATGATGAGAAAAAAATGAAGTGGTTATTTCACTTTCACGGGATGCATGACCAATGGACCGAGAATAAAATAGATTTTCAAATAAAAACTAATAACATTAATATTGTTTAATCAATGTAAATATTTTAATTGGATATGATCTATTTTATATTCTCAAAATTCGAACACCATTTTCACACATAAAAAAAAAATGTAGTTTTATATTATGTGTCAATTAAATATATAAATAATATTTTTTTAAATTTTACAAAAGATTGAATTAAAAATGTCCTCTCTTGTAGACATGTTACTTGTTTTTTCACTATACATTTTTGTTGGGATAAATTCATAAAAAGTTATAAAAAATATAACTTTATAATTTTTAATCACACGATCATTCATAATTTTCTAAAAATGTTTATGATTTTGGTTCGAATGAAATATATATAATTATTTTTGATTTAATACAATTTATCATGATAAATTGTATAACCTATGCATAGGTATTATAGTTCAATCTTCATTTTCTTAGTACGTAACGACATTCAATTGAAACTTTATTGTTAAATATAATATTTTATATCATGAATATCTAAAAGAATTGTTATTTTATAGTTAAAAAGTAGAATTCAAAAAGTATGTGCTTACAATAAAATTTTCAAACACATATTTGTTTGTTGCATTGTCTTCGACTATTATGTACTTTAATCTAATCTAAATATTGAATTGATTACTATAAAATTTTTTATAATTTTCTTTTAATAAAAAAAAAATTGTTCGTTAAAAAAAACAATGAATATAAAAAAAGTAGCGTATAAAGCAGGGGCGGCAAATCGGTTGATCTCGGACGATTTCAAAGTCGATCATGTTAGAATTTATTTTTGTGTGACGTGCACGAAAATTAATCGTGGTAGTTATGAACAAATTGTCAATACGTTTTATCTATATAGTTTTCATCTTTTATTCTGGTTTATAAAAAAATTTTCCAAAAATATAGATCTTCAAAAATGAAGTATATTTTTAGTTAGATCGTGGCCGAAAAAAGTTTGGCTGCCTCTGGTATAAAGTATAACGGCAGCTGAAACTAAATCATATTAAATTTGTATTTTTAATAAAATTATGTTATTAGCATTTAATATATATTTCGAAAATATAAAATTAAAAAAATGTATTACGTAATTAAAATCTGAGTCAAATGCGATTACAGCTTATATATATTTTAAATATTAGTATTATATTGCTTTTTTTTTTTTAACTACGATGTATACGTAAGGTTTTTGTTATTTAGATCTTTGAATGTAACTACTATACAAACTCTGCAACACTCGGATCCTTAAAATGTATATAGTTCTTAGTAACAGCGGTAGATAATATGAAAACTGTTATGTATTTTAAAACATCTTTGGTCGAGTAAAGGACAGCGAAAATCGTGTGCGGACGTCGTGTTTAATAAAATTAAAATGAAATACAAAACAAAATTTCAATAACAATGCACTTACCGCTGCCGCGAACAACAAAAATATCCAAACTTTATTCATGTTAACAATGGTCCGATGGTGATTTTCATGTTAAAACGCGCAAGACCGGCAACGATAATACCGATTTAAACGCGATTAAACTTCAACATGAGAGACGATAGGGAGCTACTAGAATAGATAAGTCACTGTCTCTTCTGCTCGGAAATACAGCCGGATGGAATGTCGAACCGGTCTTTGGTGGGGCACATGCGCGCGTTCACGGAGACCGAATAAGTTGGTCATTCAAGTTTAAGGTCAGTTACGTCCACAAGGCGCCGACCGTCTCCGATCTGTTCCCTACACGTAAACTGTTGTTCACCGTGTTTGTTTTCCGTTCAACTTACGTTTTCCGGGTTCGACGAGGTTTACTTATTTTTCGTCCGGCCGACTGCCGCTATTATTCGTGCGATGATAGCTTTTTACACGAACAATAATTTTGAAGTGGATTACACGTAGTGGGTACGAGTGTTTTGCGGGCTCGAACACAGAACCGTGCCCGGTACGGCGCTACGTAAAACGTTGGGATCGCGATCGACATGTCGTGTACAGACGGATTATTTACATTTCACTGGACGATATTACGTCGCGTGGGTACGTATTGCCGATATTCCACTGATCAGAAAGGGAAACATACGTGAAATCGCGAAATCAAACAACAATGAATCGATTAAAATCGGGCTATTGTATTTGTACGAAGACAATACCTACGTGTATTGGAGAGTATGCTAATACCGTGCGAATAGAGGCCAACGCTCTGAGAACGACTGCACTATTGTTGCCCTTGACTCATATATTCATCAGCTCGTTAAAGAAATAATAAAAAAAAAAAAACTAATGTTTACGTTTTCTCACGACAAATGCAAAATACGTACTACATAAATACTACACGTGCCCACGAAATCCGAGTGCACTCAAACACCTAATGAGACGACTTAAATTTAGATGGATACGTTGTTCCGGTTACCATTCAATTATCATCGGAATAAACACGGCTAACACGTGTGTGCGCGCGCGCGTGTAAGTGTACGAATACGCAATTAACCGCGCGCTCCGTTCGAATTTTTTTTTCCGGTAGACTATTCGCGTTGTGTACGAACTTTATCTGTTCGTTTATTCGTATCGCGATACGTGCAGAGATTGTTAGCCGAGCAAAGCAAACATAACAGGAGAAACAAGTGAGCTGTATCCAGAACGATTTGAGTGCATGTTTTCGAAAATCAAGCTTTAGAACGCCGAGTTTTAGAATGACAATATTTATAAAATCTATATTTTAGAATATGAAACTTTTAGAAAATTTATGTTTTAGAAAATGTTAAATGGTGTTTTAGAATATAAAACATTTTCAATCCTTTATTATATACTCATCCTGGTAGACATTCATTTATCTCCGAAATTCAAAAAGAACAACACGAAACTGAAGCAATAATCGAATCGTTGATTTCAAACAAAGTAGATATTCAAGAAAATAAAATACAATGAAACACGGAATAATAACTTATTGCAAATATTTAAACGAATAGTTGATGATTCTAATTATAATTTAGATGAATTTATGAGAGCTATTGCTAATAATCTTAAGTATTAACAATTATTATATTTATTTTTTAATATAAAAAAATTATTAGAAAACATTATATATGCGAGTAAACAGCATAAAAATAAAAATATTTCTAAAAATTTAAATTCTAAAAGTTTTATTTTATAAAACACAGTGTTTCTACAACTTGATATTCTAAAACCCAGCATTCTAAAATATGACTTTCTAAAATCTGCCTCAATACCATCCAGAACCGATTGCGACGGTCACAAAATGTCTTATCTCTTCTTTCTTTTTACATCTTATGGCGTGTTCGGTCAATCGGTTTACTCCGAATTTAACACAGTGATACGCGAAACACACACGTGCACAACAACAACAACAAGCGTGCACCACGTTCCAAGCGGTGCCGCAACTACACTGATTCGGAACTGTGTGCAAAAATAAAATTAATGCCTCCCCGTCCGCGTCCGGACTCCGTGCATTTAATCCAAGGGTCGGCAATTGTCGGAAGGCAATGCTCTGGACCCTGTCAACTTTTATTTTCACACTTCCAATATTGTAATTTTTAATATAAATCGATTTGAATAACAAAATAATTATTTTTATTTTTACACTGCTATTTTTAAAATATAAAGATTTGAAAAAAAAAATTTTCACCAGACCCCATTGATTTATTATTTTAAACTTTAAGATTCCAATGTAAATTACTTTCCGACCCCTGCCTTTATCCGTTGGTTCTCTACCAGAGTGACATGGACACAGTGTAGGGGTAACACGAAATCTCCACGGGAAAAGGAAAAAAAATAAGAAAATAATAATTTTAATAAAATCTTATTATTACCACAACAGTCGTGTAAATACCATACCTTTAAGTTTGTATCTTTATATTATTTAGATCCAATAAACACGCACAGTATTATTATTAACGCAAAACCGTTGCATCATCGATTATTTTATCGACTTAACCGGGGTCGTTAGTTAGTTACTTTACACTCGTTAGATATGTAGTATTATTATATACAAATAAAACAAATAACAAAACAAATATACAAATCATTACATTTTTTCTGTTTTTTTTTTTTTTTTTTTTTTTTTTAATTTGCAAATTTAAACTTTATAATGTCAGTATTTATTGAACCCTGCAACTAAATAAAATTTAGGTGTACTTATTATTTTTCTGGGTACCGAATTTTTTATTTTTATTTTTGTTATTTTAAGAATTATTCTAAAATACACAGTTAAGATTATTTATTATTTTAATGTTAGGGTGACGTGGTGTTCGATTCTTGTGGCTAAAGGTGACATGAATGAGAAAAGGATGAGAATCACTGCTTTGATCATTTGCGACCAAACTGTTTTGATATCCGATCGTGCAAACGCAACGTTGACGTACGACAATGTGTACAAAACCAAATCGATCAATTATTGTTCGATCTCGATTATAACAAAACTGTTTTATTATTTTGCTTTCTACACATTTTTCAAAGGGCCCCATTAGGCCGGGGCCTGCGGAACGCACCGAGTACACCGGTCCCGAGAGTCATTCGAACAACTGCATCACGCACGAAGGCGTGAACCGGGCGTAGACCACCGTGTCCCGGACCGTGGACACCGTGGTCAAGACGGTGGCTAACGTTCCGCCGGATACTATGACCAGCAGTAACACCAACCGCTTGAAGCCGACCACCGGGGGGGCCGGTCCGGCGTTCGGAAACGTGCGGTAGCACGCGGCCGCGGACGTTTTGACTTTCGACCGGCGCAACGATCGCATTTTCACGTAGAACAACGGCGGCAACAGGAACATCAACGGGCCCGTCAGCAGCGCCCCGATCAGGCCCATCAGCAGGTCGAATCTGGGCACGGCCTCGCCGACGGCCACCGCCAACGCGACGACGGCCGACCTGAGCGCGCACCTCCTCCAACCGAATTCTGAAACGCAAATGCGAGTGTGCGGTTAAATGCCGTCCGGCGGGCGCCACGCCCCCCCTCCCCGTCGTCGTCGTCACCGGGTCGCCGGGCGAGTGTCAACGTAGCCAACGCGGCCGGGCGGCGACGACGACGGTGCCGGTGCGTCGTTGTACACTTGTTCGCGATCGACCGATACGTCAGATGATTGCCGGAGTTCCATTTCTGATACGGTCGAATCGATTCCAACGGTCGTTGAAACTCAACTGTGCGTATTATCTATTTATGTGTTACGAACGAAAAATGGTAGAAATATTTCGATCACACCTTCGGCGTTTGCGTGCTACATTTGGATGAGATCAGGCACGCCCGCAGAGATGTAGCTCACTTAGTGCAAAATACTTTTAGTGCCCAATGTGAGCCGTGGTGCCAAATCCCCCCCACACCCTCTAACGCTAATCAGCTGACATATCTTGTTTTTTATCATCGCGATGATGAGTATAACTAAATTTATTTAAAACGTAACTCATTGTATTTATTAGTTCTAACAAAAATATCATTGTTGACCAAAACAAATGTGTTAATAAACGCGTGGATAGACGCAACTGTATCCAGTACTAAGGTGCGACAGACGACGGTTTATCAGAATAGATATTCAATGTTTACTATATTATGAATAATGATGGGCATAAATTGTTAATTAACAAAGAATGAATTTTTATATTTTATTATTTATTCAAAAAATTTAAATTATTAAAACTCTCAAGCGGTGCATTTACTCCACTTGCCCTCCTCTTCCGAGTGTGCCTGAATCAAATTTTAATGGAACTGGAACATGTTGAAAACCGTGCATAAAATATCGACTATTAGACATCGTCAAAGATACAATGATTTTATTGTTTTTATTAATTAGTTTTTTATTTTTTTTTTAAATTTTATTTTGTTCAATAAATAAACCAAATAACTTTCTCTCTGACCTACGATAATTTTAGCCATCACGTTAAATGACTAGGCAAATAGGATTGGTAACAGAGCAACCCAGGAAGGGTTTGATAATCAAACGGCTCATTTATAATTTTTTTTAGAAACAAACTTGTAACAGCATATAATTGATAAAGTAACCTCGGTTCCATAAATTTTTTACTTATATCTGCATGTTATAGATCCAATCCAGTCTTGGACAAAATTATACAACACTATTCGTTTCTTTCATTATCATCTATCACAATATTTCTGAATAGATAAACATGATTGCTGGGGTACGTATTTTCAGTGCAGTATTAAAATGTACCAAACAGTTGGGCATTCATACGATTTAATATGATTCATATTATATTATTGTTCTAATGCTTCTGGGCCGGTACATTCTAATAACCGTCACCGACCCAAGGTACTAAATCTCCTCAATACCCCTGGCCAGTGCGCCACTTGCGATGTCTAAACCGACCGATCGAATTAGAGCCATTACCAACAACGACCAGTAGTCTTTGCTGATAATAACCGACCCTTGCGGTACCGTAATGTACAACAAATCGTCCGTGAAAATAGTACATTATTTATACCTCTGGGTATCCCGAGAAAATGTTCGATGTGCTGGAACAACGCCGTGGTGCTGACCGACGTCGATAGACATATCTGAACCGTGACCAGACTTATGTTGGCGCTTAAGTAACGGCTACTGGACAGATCGTTGAGTAGATTCGAGCTCAGTAACGGTCCGAATCGCCAGTAGCCAATGACGGTGGTGATTAAAAACAAGCCACACGTTACTGACACGCCCGAACGCAAAATGGAACAGACAATACAATATATGAATCACTAATTTCAGAAAGGAGACATGTCCACTTTTTGCAAAATTTAGTTTTTTACGTATTTGTATTTATCTGCCTTAAATACATATTTTGTGTAAACACGGGACTAATCCATTCAAACATTCAGAAAAGTTAGTATCAAGGTAATGTACACATTTTTAAACCTATCTCTTTCCTAATTCTTGCCTAGATAGATTTATGTGTCTCCAATAAAAAAAAGGTTTTGTGGACATGTCCCTTTTCTGCTAGATAGGTGTGTAAGTGTTAAACGTTTATCTTCGTATGCGCACGTTGAACGCCTTACTCGAGAATGCGCAGATGATCACCAGTGGCAATCTTCGTTTGTCGACCATGTCCATCTGCACGGTAAGCACAAGCGGATGCACGTCAAACTAGAACACGACGCATGAATAACATCTGTTATTCATAAAACCATAACATCATAACATTCATAACAACAACGCCTGTTGCGTGCGCTCATTCGGATTCGCTTATCGCCGAATGATTAAACGTCGACCTTACCTGAAACGCCAATATCCCGTAAGCAAGAGCGATACTGTCCCACGAAGTTTCGGGTAGGAACGCGTCGACTTCACGCGGTGTATCAAACATCGTTATCCACGTCAACACACTTACTGAGCCCACGAAAAATACGGAGCTCAGCGCGATCCATCTGAATGAAAATATCGAATTACAGGTCTAACGCGTTAGATATGTGCAATATTATAATGTGTATTATATGAACCTTCAAATGTTTTTTTGAGGGGTGTTTTACATTATTGCCTATTTGTATTATAAATAATTTTCTCGTTTGCATGCTACAACTTTATCTCCGTTTTATTATAGTGCTCGATCGATGTGGATTTTTGGATTAGACATTTAGATTTTTAATTTTAAGGTTATGAACTAAACGAGGAGTTTATTGGTTTTATCATACTATGTATGTTTTTTTCATGTGTCCACGTACACGATTTCGATCAGAAAAAGTGCTCTGATCATCAACAAGTAAAAATTAAAATAATTGAGAACAACGAAGAAAAAATTGTAAAAAACTTAAATATAAACCGAAATCCAAACCTTCATCAGTAATAATCGCATTTTGTCACGCACTATTTTTTTTTTTTTTGTGTCCGTGTCACGGTTTAGACCAGAAGGATGACTCCGATTATCACAACCAATACCTGTTAAAGATTTCTGATAGAAAATTGTGTCTAGTTGATACTTTCAAAGGCTAATTTCACCAATTTTACAACAGTTTTTATAATAATTTCGAAAAACTGACGAAAAGTTATTAAAGTACAGCAATATTTACGGCATACTGTTTTCCGACAAAATCGAATTTCTTTTTTCACTTTAACTCAAAAAATAATATTCGTTAGAATATGAAAATTTCACTGCTTATAATAGATGGTTTAATTTTCATGTTTTCTTAATATTTTTTCAAAAATAACGATGAAATAATTTTGGTACGACGTAAAGTCTTGAAAATGTAACACAAATGTCCTCATACATATCCATTACTAATTCAAGAAATATAATTTAAGAGTGTTTAAATCAGACATTTTGACCTTACGATAAAAATCAGAAAATCTATTCAATTTTCAATATCTATACTAATATACTCGTATATAATAAATATGTATACTAATATATATATATATAGAAATATAAACTGCTCCACCCAACATATTTTACTCAGAATCGTTTTTCGGGAACAATGGTACATTCGTTTCAAGTTTAAAGTTAATACAGCAATTCCATTCATTCATCCATCATTATACATAAGAGTCTTGCCCTTTCTCGCTATTGAGATTTAAAATTACTATCAAAATTATTTAACCATTACTATTACAATAGTTAAAATCAATATTAAAATTAACTTTGAATAAATCTATTTAAACAATAACCGTAATATTTTAGAAATATTTTAATCGTATTTTTAAAATTTTTATTAGTACAAACGAATATTGTTACACGCATGTTCGTAAATTCGGTAAAAAATAGTTTTTGTAAACATATTTGACTTAGTTATTACTAATAGAAATAATGTTTGATTGTAAACCAATTGCACAGTTATGGACCAGTAACTGATTCGAAAAATATTAATAGTGTTTAACGAACATTTTTAAATTTTACGTACTTCATATCTTTCGGACTTCCAAGCCAAAGAGGTGGACACAACACTATTCCAATAACAATCAGCCACACGCATGGGGACACGTTAACACGGTCGTTCGAAAATGTTAATCCGAGTGTGTGAATATTGTAAGCCGCTATGAAATCATATATTTTGTTATCATCGATCACAGGTTGCGTTCGATTGGTGTTTCCGTCATTCATTGACCTTACCGATCAGAAGATTTGGAATACACGCACCGAACACGGCCACGTCCAACATAACGGTGACGATACATTTGGCTTTACCTCCGAAAATGAGCTCAGCTAAAGCAGCGTACGGATACCTAGTACACATTTTTAATACATAATTTCGATTTAGTGCGCGTGCTGCAGTTCGGTTTACCGCCTACCTACCGGTTTTTTTTCACGATGTTCGGTTCGATTTCTTCGGCCATGATCCAACATTTTCCCAGCAAAACGGCCGTGTACACCTGGACCGCAAACACGCAGACAGCCAACGGTATTCCCAACCATCCTGTTTTCATCTGATTATTATTCGATGCCGAATCGCTATACCATCGCGTACGCTGCTGTACTTACCGCATTTTATTATAGGTCCCGGCAGAACGATTATCGGATAGATACCGAACAGATCAACAATGCACAAGATTGCAAACGGCACCGTTAGACCACCGGGGTCCGCGATCATTTTTTTTTTCGGAAATGTTTTCAAACCGACGCTCGGACCATTATGGCGAAATCAGTAATAAGTTACACTTACAATGAGGAGCTAGCCATCACACTACACTGGACAAGCTCGTGATACACTATATCCAAGTTACACAATCGTTGCACGTGAAGCCCTCCGGAAACCCTATTCAACGCGTCGAGTATAATTTACGCGATGCGCCGGTCCGAACAGTAACTTTATATGTTGTAAAAAAAAAAAAAGAAAAACATACCGTTGAGCTGTTCAAAGTATTCGTCAATTTTTATGTAACGATTTTAATATTCCTGACAATTTTAATGTCTCATATGTATACATTTAAAACATCTTTTCATGATAATTTTTAACATATTTACAGACATTTATATTTATTGTTTTATTTTTTTTTTTTACTAGTAGAATATTCTATTTTATATGATTACTATTTGTGATACTTTTTTTTAAACCGGGTTCATTAGTCAAATAAGTACTGAAAACTAACAGTAAAATACTTGTATACACCTTCTAACGTTATCTTCTACTGCTTGTATCATTATATTTATCAATAATTACGTTTTTTTTCGGATTATTTTTATTTTAAACCTATTTTTACATTCAGAGAAACCTGTTTACTTTCAATACGTAAATTAATTTCTGTTACATTATATCGAAACCACTTAATAGTTCTGTTTATATCCTACCTATTTTTAATTTTTCACTCCGAAATAAAAATTGATCAGCTAAAGCTAAACTTTTAATCCTCGAAAATTCAAAATATTTAAAAATAATTCATGGCCTAATTAAAACTTTTAATAAACCTAATATTAATATGTACCTAATACATAAATGTTTCTATACTGCAATAAACACTTATATTAACTAAGATTCTGATCAAATGATTAAGACAGTTTTTGGTCTCGCGGTGAGTTGTAATAGTAATTGCATTAATTTATTTATTTCATAATGAAACTGTTATTTAATAAATAATGACTTTTGTATACCAAACACAAATCTATTAATTCTAGGTCATTAATTGTTCTTTATCATGATTTTCAATGTTTAATTTTGAATTTTAGGATTTCAAATTCAAATAGTTATGTAGCATGTAGTTATTTTTTTTTTATCTCAGATCAACAATTTTGTGAAAGTACAATTACAAAATGCTTTTTAAAATTTGAAAAATAAACTATAATAATAAGTATACATAGGTAGTTAATTAATGATCTTTTATCAACAAATATCAAATTTAATACCTTCCGGATCTAATGTACGAGTTAAAATATACATTTTAAACGTTGTTTTTATTGTCATTTCATCGCCTATAGGTATTTAATTCTTATAATACGACGAAAATAAATATTACCAGTTTTATATTAAATAGTTACTAGAATGTTATCATGTTTATCGTCTAAAAACCATTTCATTTTACGATTTGCTTGAATAACAAATGTACCTTTTCGAAACCATTTCAGCGTGTACTATGTCCTCTTTATGCATAAACCTTGTAGTATAAAGACGATCAGACATTGGATAAAGAATCATTATAATGTGTAGAAATCGAAACCTATAAGTATTAAATTAGAAAATATCTAATACAGATTTCGTGTAAATAAATTAAGCTTAATTGAATTTATTAAGTATTCAACAGTATAAAATGTTATTAACATATGCGACAGCGGTGGTTTGGAAAAAATTACCTTCTAAATCTATTCTTAACTATTAAGTTTCATATTATAAAACATTTTATACTAGAATAATGACAATGATCAATAATATGTGAAATGCACGAAAAAAACTTCAATTTTATGTAACCAATAAAAACATGGATATCAGTATTTTGTTTGGAATTATATTTTTTCATGTTGTAAGTCTGATGAAAAAATTATCATTCAAATAATATTATTAATAAAATATTTAAGAAATCTACAATAAGTGTAAAATACATTTATTTATTCTACATATTGACGTACATTTTACCTAGTATATTGTGAAATAACATTAATATTATACAGTTGCACAATAAAAAAAGCTATGAGGTGATCCTACGATAGTCCACAATAGAAATTATAAAGACCATAATTATCTAAACACGTCATTATTTATCCATTAATATCATTCCCAGTCGCCATTAAGAATACTTCAAAGTACCAACAGTACCGTTTTCTAATATGTCATGAGTAGTTTTCTAATATAGCATGTTCATAGACGGAGCACGAGCGTGCTCATGTTTCATAACATAAATAGCAGTAACTGCAATAAGCACCATCGAGTAAAACATGCTACTTTTTAGGTCTGGGAATGTCATTGTTGATTAATATGAGACGGCAAAATTATTGTATTATTTACCAGGTACTCTGCAGAGACTAAAATATCCTGGGTGCGCTACGACTTTGAAAATTCCAAGTTGAAGTATTAAAGTTTAGGTTTTTAATTGGAAACATTCCATAACATGACTGTTGCATGCAGTACAAAATTTAATAAATAAAAACATTAAGACAATATTTAAATAAAACACGCAATAAACTCAACTATATTCATTTTAAAATAATGTTATATCTTTTATATTTTTCTGATATGCAACATTCAAGTTGAAAATCTGCACTATCGTTTTCATATAAATTGATTACAGGATATTCTCTCAGAGAAAATCTAAAAGTAGAATGGAAAACTTCCAATGTACGTGATACTTAAATCTCAATAAATTTACTATATAACTTTGAGTTGTCTCAGATATAAAACTACATGAGCCTTTTTCGAATATACGAGTATATATGATGAAAAAAATGTTTAATGAATACTATACTTTTGTTAAATTTTAAAATCTTCATAACTGTGTAATATATTATTACATAGACATATGAAGAGTTTACTCGGCGCTTTACGAGTATAACGTACTGCTTATTAATTTTATTAAATCTACTGAAAATAAAAGAGCATATAATTAACCTTAAAATACGGAATATTTCTTTAATGTTGCGACGAGAATTATTTTAAATGGTTTCTTTGCTTAGATGCATTATAAAATACCATTGTTATTTTATATTTTTATTTTTTATACTTGTAATAAGTATTATTTAAAAAATTATATATTATAACTATCTACAATAAACATATACTATTGATCATAAATTATCTATAGTAAATTAGTATAAAAATAATGTTTAGTTGAACCCAATATCAATATAATCTGAAAATCAACGTTGATAAAAAAAAAAAATCCGAAAAGTTCCAACATACAAGTTATATGATATTCAATTTTTCCACTATACACTTTTTATGTGAATATCGCCTATAAATATTTAATTAAATAAAAAAGATAAATCATCAATAAATAGATACCCATTAGATCTATACTTTATGGTCGTCGGATTTCATTTTACCTAAAACTTACGATTACTTACGAACTTACGATATTTATGATTAATACATTTTTAATTACTGCAATAACTACGTAATAAAATTATATACCATTATCATTTTCAGGAGATGTATTAAAAATAACATTCTACGTAAACTTGACATATAAATTATATTATATTAAATGCATTACATGTTTTTCAAATTATATCAGTGATATTTTGTATGCTATGTAATTTTATTTATATACTTATTCTAGTGAAAAGTTAGCTGCGATTTTATATAAATATCGTACAAACAATGTACTCGAATTATTAAATCATTAAAATATAATACATAAGACATATTTGAGTTGTAGTAATGATTTTATAATGGTTTTTGAATGAGGAACTAAACATACATACGGATATAGTTGGTGGTATAGGTTGAAAAAAGAAAGGAGCTATAAGACACGTGAGACGATTTAAGTATTTGAAATTTATTTCACGTAATAACACATGAATTACTTCATTTAGAAATGAAATACTTGCATTCACTATTATGTGTGTTAGAATGATTAAATTAAGACAATCGAAAACGTGAAAGTATGAGCATCTCGAGCGAGAGACGATTAATGCATCAGATACAACAGTTACAGTTTAAGAATTACCTTTGAAAATAATCCAAAAACATCAACAGAGCTCTATACTCAAAATCCGTATTTTAAATTACCAAAAGTTCAAATCATAATTTTTCTATACGTCACTTTTTAAACTAAATTTAAACAAATGCACTTCTGCAAATTATTTAATCTATAATTAAATATAGATAATTTTATACAATTTATAGTATTATGATCATAAGCTGAACTATGGCTTTTAATGACAACTTAAGTAATTTATTTTAGTATACGTCAAAAAAAAAAAAAAAAATGAATGAAATTCGTCTTACTGTATTGATCCATACATGCTACATTAGGTTTAGGATTTTGTTTGATATAATTATGATTCGAAATTTTGATAAAGTAACTAAGAAAACTAACTATGTTTTTTTGGAAAACGTTTGAATTCTTGAGGTAAACAAAAAAGGCAATTTTTTATTTATTTTCTATTTTATTTTCAAGTGTTGTGATTATACTATTGCAATAACAATATTTATGTTTAAAGGGGCTCGGCATTTTGATTACGCAATAATATTTTAACAATGAATAGATTGAAAACATAATACTGCTATTATACTCGTATATCTGCTTTTAATACACTATTGCTTTAAAATTTAGTAAAAGTTAGGTTAAGTTACTCTCTGTAAGTACAAGAGTTAATAATAAAAAATAGTATTGCATAGTAAGTTTTTCGTAGTACCAAAATAATGATAAAAATAATCAATTTATATAAAATATAATAATAATTTTTTCATATTAAATCATTTAAATTGCTTTTAAAGCCTTTAAAAAAAAAATTGCTTTTTAAGGTAAATACCTTTTAGAAAATATGGTAACCTATTTATTCTAATGTATGTCTATATAAAAAAAGTACTAAAATATATACTCTAATTACCTAAAAAATAATTAAATATATTACATTTTATTTATTATAAGTTGAGTAGAGAGTATTATGAATACAGAATATAAAACTGGAATAATAATTAGGTCATTTAAACGGCATCAAAAAATTATAAATAAAATAATATTTAAATAAAAACATCCCCATTAATATTGTGTTAGAAAATTAAAATAGAGTGTGTATAAATTAAGGTGTACAGTTTTAATCCTTCATTCACTCAAACTTGAACGTTTAGTTAAGAACCAGTGTATAATGTAATCTAATATAATA